CAGTTAAGGATGAATCTTAGTTTCTTCCTTGTTCATTCTAAGCTACTATCTGGGTCCAAACTCAATGGCAGTTGGCATTATATTACAAGACTATCTGACTTTTATCACCCACTTTCAACAGCTTGCACTGGCCTAGTCCCTCTTCCTGTCCTTTTGTTGGAGCTCCCACTAAATTCTTCTGCAATTTAAGGTTCTCAGCTCAGTGGTAGGTGGGAAAAGATTGGCAACTCTCAAGGCCAATAAGCTCAGGTTACTCAGCTCCATCTTCTCCTCATTGCTTGCTCACTCCTCATTTATTCAGCATTTGTTTGGTAAATATTTAATGATCACCTGCTCTGAGCTGGGAACTGTAGAACCATTCCCCCAAGGAGACCCTGGAGATCAGGGGCATGGGGCAAATTCAGAAATATTAAACTACCAACATACTAATGGGCACAATTTTCATAAGACTGATCCCTCCCAGTCAATTTCCCTTTTAGTGTCAATATTTTATCAATTAATTAATTTATTATTATTATTATTTAATCCTCACCCAAGGACATGCTTAGAAAGAAGAAGGGAGAGAGAGAGAGAGAAACATAGATGTGAAATTGAATCCTCAACCCAGGTATGTGCCCTGACCGGGAATCCAACCGGCAACCCTTTGGTGCACAGGATGTGGCTCAACCAATTGAGCCACTGCTGCCAGGGAGTGTCAATATTTTAGAGTCTCTGCCCTTGCCTCCCAAATATGGACCGTGGGTTATTTCACCAGAGCTGGAGGATGAACTTGCTTCTTTTGGAATTCCTGGGTGAGCATATGGGTATCAAAGCTGGCGTCCTCAAAGTGAAACCCACCAACTAACTGCAGCACTTTCCTGGGGTGCTTATTCAAAATACAGCTTCCCAGGCCCCTCTGGGGTATAGGCTCAAGAATCTGCATTTTAACAACTTCTTCAGGAGAGTCTTACATACTTGGAACTTGGGAAACACAGAAGGTTGCTCATTCTTCTTTTCTGAGAATGGTTCATTCATATGACACACACTTATGGAAGGCCTAATTTACTGGAGATAAGTGGGTAAACAAAGGAGACAGTATCCTGTTCTCATGGATCTTACTTTTTTTTCCTTTTAGAAGTTACCAGGTTTAAAGTGATATTTCCTTATTGAAAAGAACAGAATTTTAAAGCCAGAGGAACCATAAAATTTTCTTTTTCTACCCACATTTTGTATATATTTCTGTGTGAGGTGAGAGAAGAGTGGTGAGTCCCCCAAGGCCATACTGCAGAGAGCTGGGGCTGGAACTTGGGTCTCCAAATGCCTGGGTTCAACTCTCTTCCACCATATCTCTGTTTCTTGGAAGTTTTAGGCATGTTTGAGATGGGAATTGTTTGGTACAATGCCTATTTTATGTTTTCCTGTAGATGTTATACAGTGTGTGTGTGTTTTGGGGAGGGGCACATTTATTTCAAAACTAATAATTCCTAGTCTCTGGAATCTGAAGGAGTCCTCAGGAAGTCAATTTGGCAAACAGAGCAGGACTCTGGCCTTTCACAGACAAGTGTGGATTTACATTCTGCCTCTTCCTGGCTGTGTGATCTTAGGCAAATTGTTTAACCTGTCTGTTTCCAGTTTCCCCACCTGGAAAATAGGTTAATTATACCTCGCAGAGTGGTTCTGAGAGTTAAAGGAAATCACAGGTATAAAACTCCTGGTTTCTACACATGCTTAATTATTTCATTCTGACCTTCCCCACTTCATTTAGAGAGAACTACGTTATCTTAACCCTAACCCTAATTTTTATTATTTAAAAACAATTTCAATTATGGTTGACATTTAATGTTACATTAATTTCAGGCATGCAGCATAGTGGTTAGACATTTACATAACTTAAGAAATAATCCCTTGATAAGTCTAGAACCTACCTGGCACCATAGTTATTACAATATTATTGACTATATTCCCTATGCTGTACTTTACATCCCCGTGACTATTTTGTAACTGCTAATTTGTACCTTTTAATCCCTTCATCTTTTTTACTACCCAATCCCTCTCCCATCTGACAATCATCAGTTTGCTCTCTATCTATGAGTCTGTTTCTGTTTTTGTTTGTTCATTTATATCTTTTTTTTAGATTCCACATATAAGTGAAATCATATGGTATTTGTCTTTCTCTGACTTATTTCACTTAGCATAATACTTTCTAGGTTCATCTGTGTCATTGCAAATGGTAAGATTTCATTCTTTTTATGGCCCAGGAATATCCCATTGGATATGGGTACCACATCTTCTTTATCCATTTGTCTCTCCATGGACCCTCAGGTTGTTTTCATGTCTTGGCTGTTGTATATGAAACGTTCTTCTTTGTCTCTTGTTATAACCTTCGTTTTAAAGTCTATTTTGTCTAACATAAGTATTGCTACCACAGCTTTAAAAATTTTTCCATTTGCATGAAATATCTTTTTTCATCCCTTTACTTTCAGTGTGTGTGGGTCTCTTGTACACAGCGTGGTCTCTTGTATGGGCCTTGCTTTCTTAGCCATTCAGCCACCTTATGTCTTTTGATTAGAGCATTTAATCCATTTACCTTTAAAGTAATTATTAATAGGTATGTAGTTATTATTATTTTGATCTTTTTTTTCTTCTTAAACAAGTCCCTTTAATATTTCTTATAATACTGATTTGGTAGTAATGAACTCCTTTAGCTTTTTCTTGTCTGGAATATGCATTAACTTTTAGAAACAATAATAGAGACGTCTTGATGGTTTGGTCTGACATGCAGTATGTGCCTTGTTGGGGCCCCTCGATCTTCCTCTGTGTTCTGCTTCGTTGCAGTTTCTGTAGCTTTGCCTGAGCCTGGGGCAAGTCTTCATCTGTCCACCTCCAGGGTTGTAGCCCATCTCCAAGCTTGAGAGACTTAAGTTGCATCAGTGAAGTGCCTGGCTGAGGACCCCATTCACACTTGGCCCTGCACATGATGGGCGTGTGCTAAATTCTCTTTGCACTGTCTGAGAAGAGTTAAAGCACCAAGGACACATCTCATTTGGGGGTAGTATTCCTTGAGACCTTTGCAAAATCCTGCCCAAATTCAACAAGACTGCTATTCTATTAGGAGGCATCACCTTTTCATTCCTTACCACAGATTTATCTTGAGTGTGTTCTGAACAGCTTCACAAATCCTTTTTGTTTTTGCTTCTGTAATGAGCATATGGTGGCCTCATTCACGTGATAAATTGGAGCCACCACAATATTTGACTTTTCACAATTTAATACCTCTACACCTTCCGTCTGCTGTCTGAAAAATAAACTCCTTTACATTCTTTTCTCTTCCTTATCAGCATTAGCAGGTAACTCAGCATTCATCTGCTAGGGCCACCACAACAAAGTGACACAGACTAGGTGGCTCAAACAACAGAAATTTAGTATCTCACAGTTGGAGATGTTGTTTTCTTCTGAGGCCTCTTTCCTTGTCGTGTAATGGTCATCTTCTCCCTGTGTCTTCACATGGTCATCCCTCTGTCAGACTGAATCAGGGTCCACTCCAGTGCTCTCATTTTATCTTCAGCACCTCTTGACCCTGTCTCCAAATACAGCCATATTCTGAGGTGCCAGGGTTTAGGACTTCAGTGTATGAATTTGGGCAGGACACAATATAGCCTATAACCCTCTCTTTTGGGACCCCATCCCACCCCCAATATGGAAATAGAACTTCTCACTTCATGAGCATGACTGTGAATCAGTAAAACCAAGGAGAGAAGAGCACAGCTGGCCAAGGAGCAGGGTTCCTCAGCTAGCAGTGCTTTCAATATGTGAATGTGCCCAGAGTCACCGAGAGAGCTTGTCAAAATGCAGATTCTGATCCCATAGACCCAAGAAGGGTCTGGGATTCTGCGTTTCTAACAAACTCCATGCTGCTGGTCCAAGGATCACACTTTGAGTAGCAGGAAGGTTTATAATTGCTGAATGGTTTTCAAACTCTTGACATGGGAAAATTATGGGTTACATTGTGAACCTTTGGGGTACCTTTCAAAAGGATAAAATTTCTAACATTAAATTTGTGGACACCAAATTTTGCTCTCTGATTATAGCAAGAATCAGACTCAGCTGCATTAACTCACCTATTCAGCTGAGCTAGCTGTTCTTGTTGAGGAGTCCTGGTTGCCAAAAGGTCCCTCACCAGGGTTCATCCTAACAGCCTTAATGAGCCATTTGGCTGGACTTTGCTAATGCCACAAAGATGGACCCAGCCACAGCAGTGACAAGATTCTGCAGACAGAGGGGAAGCCAAGGTGGCTGCTGTGAACAACCAGGCGGTCACATATCCCTGGGGAAATGGATCTTGACCCAAGCTGATGATATGCCTCAGCAGTTCAGGATTAGAACCTTTGATGGGGGTATAAATGTATAAAAAGCCTCTTTCCCTCCATTCACTTAAAATACCTGTCTTGCCTTGCTGGGGACCCAGCTCTCATTACAATGAACATGAGTTATTCCCAGGGAGATTGAAGCCTCAGATACCAAAACACCTTTTAGATTCTACCAGCCTTGTTAGCTTATTTAAACCATCACTTCTCTCCTGGAGGCCCTTAAAGGCTGCATGATACACAGCTGCCAGCAAGGCTCTTGTAGGTGCTCCCAGAGAGGAGCAGGGTAGAGAGGGTCTGGATGAGTCGATGGGGTTCTTAACCCCCAGTCAGAATGCCAGATGACCAGCAGAGCCTGCTACCTTCACGCCGTCAAGGACCTAGAATTCAAAGGAGACCAGGAGAACACAGAACAGCTGCACGCTGAGCTTTATCAATGAGGGGTTTGAGATCTGGGCTCTTTAGCTGGGTTTTGAAATATGTTCAATGACTAGTAATAGCTGAGAGACTTCCATCCTTCATATGAAGTAAATGGAGCATTCTTGAGTGAAAGGAGCTATAATTTAAACCCCATGTATTTCAAAGTGATAACTTTTTTGTGTGTGTGAAGTGGGTGTCATTTGTGCAGCTTCTACAGGTTTCTCTCTCCTTTTCCAGCACACCTGGCTACATATTTGGGAAGCGTATCATACTGTTCCTGTTCCTCATGTCCCTTGCTGGCATATTCAACTATTACCTCATCCTAATTTTCGGAAGTGACTTTGAAAACTACATAAAGACGATCACCACCACCATCTCCCCTCTGCTTCTCATTCCCTAGCTCTATGCTGAATACAGGGTTGGTGCTCTCATCTGATCAATACCTAGGCGTCATCATTGCTTAGCCCTTGAGAGATGCAGGCCCTCTTAGATAGGAAATAAATCTAATGACCATCCGGGCTTCACAGCTTGAGTTCACCTTGCTTTTTCTGGAAGAAAATAATTCTCTGTCAGCTCCGCCCCTTGAAAATGACAGAGGCCCCAAATTTGTTACTCAGACCCACTCTGTATGTTCCTTGATTTATCCTGCTTCCTGAAGATGTTTTGGGATCAGATTTGTGTTTTCCTAAAATAAAATGCAGACACGTTTGAAGCTGGTAGTTGAATTTTGTGTGTCTGTTGCTACAGTTGAATGACTAGTTTGTTTTCCTCAACCTAAATGATGATAATAAGATATACACTATCTTTACACACACACACACACACACACACACACACACGGAAAGGTATCCATCAAAATATCAACTGTGATTATCTCTGGGTGAAGAGGTTTAGGGTAAGTTTTACTCTCTTGTTTACATTTTCATGTATTATTTGAAATTTCTTAATGAGCAAATCCCATTAAACAAAGAAACAGAAGAGACACAACTGAAGCCTCGCCTCTTCCAAGAAGACTGTCTTAGCTCCAGGTTGGTCTATGTTGCCCGCTGACGTCCCACAGCGCCCTATGCACATCTCAAGTACAGCAAATCCACATCACCATGTAAAGGTACTATTAGGATGTGCCACTCTGCCCCACTAAGTCATCAGCTCTTGAATATCCCCAATGTCCTGTGTGTGTTTTTTCCTGTGCTACACTTATGGACAGGCCCATAGCAGGTACCAATGACTCAAACTATTTGGAAACTTGAACAAATGTCCTGTAAAGTGTTATATTGGAGGGGACTGTAAGTGTGAGTTTTATGAGATTAAGATGTGTATTTTTAAAAAGATTTTAATGGGATAAATTGTAGATAAATGCCAAAAAAGAAAAGAAAAGAAAAACCACTATCCTTCCTACAGATAAACAGACTACCTTAAGAATTGTTTGTTGACTGTGCACCCTGCTGGCCCCCAATAAGAACTAGGTTGCACTCATTATATTATTTCGTTTGAGATGTTCTGTAACTTAGTGTCAGCACGTATGATAAGGCCAGGCCCATCACAGGTGCCCCCAAATAGTGGCTGAACAAGTGAATAAATGAATGACTGAGCTCATATATTGCTGCCTAGCAGTATTTAATAAAATATGTGTTGAGCCATTTCCCATATTGTGGACAGACTCATGGTGGTCCAACCACTGTCACACCTGGTGTCCCTTGACACAAAGAACACAATTTGGAAGATGGCTGGGTGTGGTCAAGAGTCTGGGACACCCAACAGAGAGAAGCTAACGTCTACAGAAGAGTCAACTCATCAGGGCTGAGCTCTCAGTTGAGGTGACCAGCAGTAGGTGAGTACACTTAATCCCCAGCTGAGTCTTGTAAGGATCCCCATTTAAGCAGGAAGAGGCAAATCCAGGGGTCAAACCTCTCCCAACATTCCCTGAGTTGCCTGGTTGGGGAGTGGAGCAGATGAAGATATGGAGTCTGGCCTGTGTGGGTCAATGTGCCTCATGTGTGATGCTCAAGGAAGCAGACCTCTAGACTCAGAGGAAAAGTCCCCATGTGGACAGTTTCCCAGGCCTGTCTGATGGTCCTGGATGAACCTCCTGTGCTTTCCCTGCTGAACCCCGTCCAGCAGAAGCTTCTTAGCGTCCATTGCTTTTGCAGAGTTGCTTCTGCTTTTAGCTTGCTGTTGAGAATAGGAATCAAGTGTCCTAGCTGGGCATTTCTGTTCTTGCTGACAGGAAAGATCATGGCTAGCTGCAGGGCTGAAGGGGCCTGTAGGCCTGCCTCAGCCTGCACTTGGTTTGCAGGGTGGTAAGGTGATTGATTGTCTCAGCCTGCCTGGGGCTGAGGAATTCTTGGGAGGTGGGGCTTTCAGTTTTAAAACTGGGACAGTCTTGGGAAAACCAAGATGAGTTGTCTCCCTAAGGGTGGAATAGGCGAGAATATTCCCAGTGGATCCTGGGGACACCTTAGCTCCTAGAGGCCACACTGTCCAAAATGACCATGGGACCTTAGTGTGCAAGGAGAGGAAATGATGAGATGGCCCATCAGAGGCTCTGTGGAGTGGCCTGGATGGAGCATGTGTAACTGAGGGCATGAGGGGTTAAGATGTGGCTGGAGCAGGCTTGCTGTTTACAAAGAGTCTCAGGTGCAGAACACCTGCAGGAGGGGCTCCTCCTCTGATGGGAGGCAGCACTGAAGTGGTCAAATTCACTGTCTTCAGAGTTGCTGGCCTGGGCTGAATCTGTCACATATTCAGTTCTGTGACTTCTTTCTAAGCCTCAGTTTTCTCATGTGTTAAACTGGGATAATAGTACTGCCAAATTTATAGAGTTGTCGTGAAGGATAGTGACATAAAGCAAATAAAAATCGTTAGCACATAGTAAGTGCTGAATATTACTATTATCTATTATTGCTATATTTATTATTGTTAGCTTATTGTATTAGTTTTCTATTGCTGCATAACAAATTCCGACAAATACAGTGGCTTAAAACCACATACATTTACCATCTCACAGTTTCCATGGGTTAGGGGTCCTCACGGATGAGCTGGGTCCTCTGTTCAGGGTCTTGCCAGGCTGTAGTCCAGGTGTCACCCTGAGCTGTGATCTCTGCTGAGGCTCAGGGGTCTCTTCCAGGCTCACTGATTGTTGGCTTAGTGCTCTGCAGTTGTAGGACTGAGGCCCCCAGTTCCTGGAAACCCCTTCCCTGGCTCACAGCCTTCTCCACAACATGGTGATTTTCTTCTTTAAGGCCAACAGGAAAGCATCTTTGGTACTTTTTTTTTATTTCTGACCTATAGATCCACTTTTATAGGGCTTACCTGATTAAGTCAGGCCCACCCAGGGCAATCTCCTCTTTGATTAACTTAAAGTCAACCGATTGTGGATCTTAGTTACAGCTGCAAAATCCTTTCACCTTGGCTTTATTGTGCATCTTGGTGAAATCATACTCACAGGGAGGGGATCTTGCAGGGTGTGAGTCAGTTTAGGACTCTGATGGCCTCTCCTGCCATCCGGCCTACAGGAGCAAAGGGAGCTGCATAAACAATGAGATTGTGGGTGCTCTGGGCAGAAGCAGGCTAGAGTATGTGTGTGTGTGTGTGCGCACGCGTGCATGCAGATTTGTGCATGTGAACATCTTGGGGAGAATTCTGTGAGGAAGGAGGCCAGGGTTCCTTCCAACTCCTGAGGACAGGGAAGCTCCTTAGCCTCTTCTGTGGTCCCTGTGGGAAACTGTACAGTGATAGAACAGATGACGCTGAGACATAAAATAAGTGAACTCCTCCTTCCCCTCCATCTTGACTAAAATAGAATTTGTTTCATGCTGAGAACCTCCCTGGCTGTGAAGAAAGAATCTGTGTAACTGTTTTTTCTATTCATACCCCACCTCCCATCTCATGCCTTCTCCAGCTCAGGAAATGTCCGGCCCATCACTTAGTTGCTCTTCCTTCCCATCCCACGTCAATCGATACACCGAGTTCCGTCAGCTCAACTTTGAGGTACATCCACGGCTGACTACTCCTACCATCCCCATGCTGTCCCTGTTGTCTGAGGCAACATCAGTCTCTCTCCAAGAAAATTTCCATGGCCACCCCCATCAGCTCTATATCACATGCCCTTGCTTAAAATCTGTGAGGGAATTTTCATTGCTCTTGGAACAAAGGTATGTCCTTGATGTGGCCACGTGAGGCTTGTGCGATGGTTGGCACTAGTGGTCTCTCTGTACGCCAACCCTTGTTCACCCCCTCTGCTTGCCACCCACGCTGGTCTGTACCCTGCTCCAATGCAGCACTCTTCTCCCTGACTGCTCTGTGTTCTCACCTTCCTTTTATTCAGTGTCTGCCAATGGTCACCTCCTTACGGATCCCTCCAAGACCACTACACCGCATCTGCATAGAAGCCCAGTCCTTCCTTGGCCCCACCCATCATCTCCTACCCTTCCTTCCTTCTCTGCTGTGCACTTACCACCACCTGACATTAGATCACTGATTTACCCCTTTACTCATTTATTGTCTGTCTCCTCCACTGGAACAGGAGCTTCAAAAAGGCAGACTTTGCTTATGTTGTTCACCATCTAGGCATATAATCAGTGCTTAAGACATATCTGATGAGCTAAGAACAGACTAGACTGGGTTGTGGGATGGTGTAGTTTGGTATGTGTGACCCTGTGGTAGGGTGGCAATGGCTAACGGGCTAAGAGCAAATCTCAGACAGATAGCCTAAGAGAAGTTCTCAAATTTCATTGTGCAAAGCTCCAGCTAAGGAACTTGTTAAAAAATGCAAGCCCTTTATCACCATCCCCAGAGAGATGATTGGTAGGTCAGGGATAAGGCTCAGGAATTCACGTTCTTAAGATTCTCAGGCTTTTTCTAATGTAGCTGACTATAGGCTACCCTTTCAAAAGGTCTTTGCTTTAGATCTGTACCAATAATACTAGCCACATGTGGCTACTGAGACCCTAAAATGTGGCTGTTCTGACTTGAGAAATGTTGCAAATGTGAAATGCACACCAAATTTTGAAGACAATGTAAAAAAGTAAAATATTTCAATAATGGTTTTATATGGATTACACATTGAAATAATAATCTCTTGGCTCTACTGTGTTAAATAAAATGTATTATTAGAATTAACTTCACCTGTTTCTTTGTAATTTTCTCAGTGTGGCTACTGGAACATTTTAAATTACACATGTGGCTTGTGTCAAATTTCTGTAGGACAACACTGATCTAGTTCTGTCGCACCCAGCAAGGCTTCCTGGCTGAAAACAAATGCTGGCCCTTACTTACCTTATGTCTGGTTTCTTGCAGACGACACTAAAACATGTGCCAATAAAAGTTATCATAGGATGCCAACCGGTTTTGTCTGAATCTGGAACAGAGTTCTTTGAAGCTTGTTACTATGATCATGAGGGTGTTTCATAAAGTATTTCTGATCACAAATGTGGCACATTATTAAAATATCATCTTTATGGTACCTTAGAGGCAAGGGCTATCTGAATATGGGGAGAGAAGCAGCTTGTGGAATGGTTGTATAAATGAAATGACTGGAAAGCAGTGCACGCGGTTGAACCTCGGCTCAGGGGCTTATTCTTATTAAAATGTTTAGGTAGCAGTTTCTGTTCATTTCTGCTGAATTGCTCTCCAAATTACGAATCTGCTCAGCACCCCAACAGACCTGAGTCCAGGAGAAGTTTATCCCCTTTGATCTTGTGATCCTTGCCTAAGC